TCCACATCTTCTCCGCAGCAAGCTACAATCCTTACTTTAATTTAGGCGTTTTGCCTCTGAAACGTGCTCGCCGCATGCGCAATATCTCTCGAGAGAAGAATATTTTGACACAATTATGAAATTTAAATGAAGAGGGTTATCAGCAAGATTTTCTATAATAATATTCCAATCAGTAGACTCAGCTTATGAATAGGAAGGGCAAACCTTGCATGTCAGGTCTCCGCTACATAAAACGCAGTCAATTACAAAATCTGACTACGGTTACTGTTTTAGCGCAATGCGCAATACTCACCAGAGGAGATTATATTTTTTGGTGGCTGAGAATGGGCAATGGTTCAGGGGGGTATCTGCAGCATAGGCTTCTGTAATAAGTCTTATCAGTAGAACTGTTTATAATTAGGAGAGCGCCGCTAGCTAGTAAGGTGCCAAACAGTACTCATCTCCGCGCCCCTTCCGATTCTCTCTTGTCGCACGCTCACCTCTCTTCTTCCACCGCGCCTCGCTGTCTTTCCCTGCACCTTCTACTCAGCTCAACACTCTCTCACGCAGCAAGCGATATTACGTACTTTTATATAGGCCGGTAATGTAAGTCTGAATACGGTGCTCGCGCATGCGCATATATCAGCAAGAAAGAATAATATTTGCCAAAATTATGAATTTAAATAAAGAGAAGGTGATCCAGCATAGATTCTATGATATATTCGCATCAGTAGATCTCTTATGAATAGGGAAGCAGACTTGCATGTAAGATCTCCGCTGCATGACCAGTTTAGTACCACAATCTGGCTACGTTAAGTGTGTATGCGGCATGTGCAATATCTCACCAGAGGAATTATATTTTGTTGATCAATATGCATTTAAAATGGTTAGTGTGTATCTCAGCATAGATTCCGCAATAAACTTTTATCAGTAGAACTGTGTTATATATTAGGAGAGCGCCCTAGCATGTAGGTACAAAACACCTACTTTATGACCGTGCGCGTTCTTTCCCGTTGCCTCCCTGTTCCGCTCGCTTCAGCCTCCTTCTTCTTCTACCGCCCCGCTATCTCCTGCCGTTTTTTTCGCTGCAGTCTCCCATCGCTCTACCCCTCAGCAAGCTATATTATAATGTTTTGGCGGCCCTCAAGACGCACTGACCTCTAAGCACGGTGCGCGGCATGCGCAATATCTCTCCGTGAGAATTCGTATTTGCAAAGATTATGGCATGTTAAAATGAAGAGGGGGTTATGCCAGCATAGAGTTTCTATGATAATATTCCATCAGTAGACCTCACTTATGGAATAGGAAGCATACTTTTTGCATGTAAAGGTCCTCGCTACATAACAGTCAGTAAAAATCTGACTACGTTACTGTTTTAGCGCATGCGCAAATATCTCACAGAGCAGTTATATTTTGTGGCTGAAAAATAGCAATTAATAATGGTCAGGGGGGGTATCTCAGCATAGGCTTCTGTAATAAGATTCTATGCAGTAGACCTGTGTTTATAATTAGGAGAGCGCCTAGCCTGTAGGGTGCAAACTCCTATTCACCCGCCGCCTTTCATTGTCTGCCCTTGTCGGCAGCGCTTAGCCTCCTTCTTCTTCCCCGCCGCCTGCTGCCTTCGCTGCCACCTTCCTCAGTCTCACCCTCTCTCCCGTCAGCAAGCTTATTATTCGTTTTGACTTTGATTTAGGCGCGTACTGTAACGTCTGAAACGGTGCTCGCGCATGAGGAACATGCCCAAAAGGAAAAATATTTTTGGGCAAATTATTATGATTTAAAATGAAGAAGGGGTCATCCTAGCATAGAATTTATATTAATAAAATTGCATCAGTTAGACCGTCACTTCAGAATAGGAAAGGCAGACCTTGGCATGTAAAGGTCCGCCTGCATATCGCATTTCGTACTGTTAGCAGTGTTTTAGCTCTGCGCAGATATCTCACAGAAATGAGTTTTTATTGTGTGCTGAAATGCATTTAGTTTCTTAGTTTTCTAGAAACGTTTAATTTCTCATTTAAATGTCAAATTATTAACCATAAATCCAATGCTGTGATATTGTTACTTTTGATGAGTCCTCCATTTTTGAAGTTAGCATGAGCTAAATTTGTTGAGACTCACGATGCTGGCAAATGAGGGCACTACCTTAAAGAAAAGGGGAATTCAAGTCTCTTTTCTGCCTCGCACTTCAGCTCCATAAAAAGAATGTTTCACCAGGGCGATATAGTTGTAATTCCAGTACATGTGAAAAAAAGTGTCAGTCTTAAATTATGGTTTGAGTCATATAAATATTAGTTGAAGCTACGGATGACTTGAACATGTTAAATGTCTGATATATTGTTTGGCCCCCCCCCTCCTCACATGGATCGAGCCCCCGATGGAATACAATCAACGATAATACCGAAAAAGTAAAAACGCATATTTGAAATTGAAAGTTTTGAAAATTCATGCGATCCTCTTAGTGACCCCCCCCTTCAGCTCCCAATGTGGGTTGTGTGTGTGTGTGTGTGTGTGTGTGTGTGTGGTTTGTGTGTGTGTGTGTGTGTGTTGTGTGTGTGTGTGGTGTGTGTGTGTTGTGTGTGTGTTGTGTGTGTGTGTGTGGTGTGTGGTGTGTATGTATGTGTGTGTGTGTGTGTGTTGTGTGGTGTGTGTGTGTGTGTGTGGTGTGTGTGTGTGTGTGTGTGGTGTGTGTGTTGACTCGGAATTTGCTGATCGCTCTTGGTACCCAAATACCAGGCACCATAGACATAGACATAGACATAGACATAGACATAGCATAGACGCATAGACATAGCATAGACCATACACATAGGATATAGACACGAACATCGATATAGACATAGAAGGCACCAACCGAAGCGGTAAGAATCAGCGACAAGATGGCGCCAGGTAGATCACATACGCAGAGGGCGTCTAATAAATACTGGTACGGTCCTGACATAGCGGTTACGCGTAGGCTCATTGATCTAAGGTCTCTCTTCCTTCGGATTATATATTAGTACCCGACAAGTTGGTTGCTGGCACTTAATAGCGTATAATGATATTGTTAATAAATGATAGATCAAGAATAGTCGTATTTTTTAATATCACACATAAGTAGCACGTTCTCTCGACTTTAACTTTCCAATTAGTGCGAGCAAATACAAATGATTGAAACGTGTTTTTTACAAGAAAGCTAAGTATGATGAGGCGTTTTCTTCTTTTCTGATTAGGTATTAACCTAGGCAGTAATAGCACAGCCGATACGCATATATAATTTTCAAACCAGCGTGACATAGCTATGACTGAATTCCAAATTGAAGCTAACTATTCATCCTACTATATTTCAACCTCAATTGTCAACTTTATCCGGCGTATTGAGAGGGCAGGCGATGCTCTTACATAATCCTGAATTAACGACGTGTAGTCACGCGGTTTTGTTGAGTGATTTCGTTGCATGCATTCATGTTTGAAATGGTTCTACAGCGTGTTATTGCTTCTTTTAGTTAGAAAACTGCCAACAACGAAGACGAACGCCGGCATTTCGCGTTTAACAACTTGACAGGGTGTATTTACATTTCGAAGCTTTCGGTCTGGGCATGCGCCGTGCACCGCATCGGATGAATGCGCTGCGCAGACGTGTCTAAGATGGACGCGTGTCGCTCGCGGCATTTCATTACACTCGCGTGCATTATTGTCTCACCCGACGCGAAATAAATTAACTACATTTGCACGAGACGGCGGACACGTAGGGCTACCACCCGGATCCGTCATAGACGAAATATTCGCGTAGCTGTCGTCATTAGAACTGATATTAAGGATGGTAACGCCATTACTGTTTAAGCAGGTGCGTATGTACTGTTCGGCAGGTAGGCGATGACATAGGCTACAATGGCGCATCGATGAATAATTAACCCATTCCGTCTAAATAAAATTTTGATTGGCGCGAATTGACTCGTGTATACATGCTAATGAAGGCATCGGAACTTGACGTGCTAATTAAAATGTGGCAAGATTCTTGTTAATGTGCGTGGGTGCGTGCGTGCACATGCTGCGTGCTTGCATTGCATTCCGGTGTGCATGGCAAGTGCACTGGCATTAGTAATCGGTTCATAGTTGCATGCGAATACTGTTATAAGACCTTGAATATATAGACCTTGAAGGCAGTAAACAACAAAGAATGTTTAAAAGTGTAATAAACAGTATTTTAGTTGATACAACTACGTTGGCTATAGACATGCATGCAAATCCAGATGACCGTAACTTCAAAATAATATAGAGACTGTAAAAATATAATTACAGACAGTGAATGTGTATATAGCAATTGTGACAGCCACGAACAGGCTCATCATTATCATACAGATTGATTATGTATGTATAGTATATATATATATATATATAATATATATATATATATATATTATATAATAATATATATATATATATATATACTGAGGTACGAAATCCTCACATAATTAGTTAATACACCGCGGAAACGCGCTACACACTACGTTCCATTTGCAAGGCTAAATCACGGAGAACGTATTGTAAAAAAAATCTCCCGCGTAGGATCGAGGAATCTCGCTGTTGTCGTGTTTATTTCCGACGTAACTGCGAGGGAAGGTGATAAAATTGTAACGTAACATCGGTCAGATTTCGGCCGTTGCGCGATTGTGCGCTATACGACAGCTCCAGCGATGGTCACGAATTAGAATTCGAACGTTTGCGAATGCACTCTTAAGTTGTGCGTTCGGAGGACGGAAATATGCTCGGACACGTATATCCATAGATATATACAAATATATATATAAATATATATCTATGGTATATCCAAGCTGTCGGCGTTGGTGAGTCGGATCCGTAACGGTATGGGGCGCGGGCGCGCATCGTCCGTGTTAGTTTCGGCGGTGTAGACGTTTGTCGACGTCACGAAACCCAGACGGGTTCTCGATGTCGTAGTTGTGCAGGGTCCTGGGCTGAGTGTACTCATGTCCCTCTCTGTAAGAATTCATGACGATATGAAGAGAGACGTTTCTGCGGCAGTTATTTGTAACTAGGAGACGCTTTGTAGGGGGGGAATTGATCATTTACGGTGACCACCAGAATTTGTTATGAAAAGTTCGTTGTCGTAAGAATTGTTAGAAAATGTTATAAAAATCGTTGCTTTCCGACAAGAGAGTGAGAAGTTAGGTTATATTTTATCAGAGCATTGTCTATATTATGAGGTGCGTTTCTATGTGAGTGAGTGAGGTGGTGTGTGTGGTGGTGTGTGTGCGTGCGTGCGTGCGTGCGTGCGTGCGTGCGTGTGAGTGTGCGTGTGCGTGTGCGTGTGCGTGTGTGTGTGTGTGTGTGTGTGTGTGTGGTGTGTGTGTGGTGTGTGTGTGTGTGTTGCGCGGCAGCGCGCGAGTGCGTGTGCGTGTGGCGCTGTGCGTGTGGCCTACTAACACATGTAGGCCTACACCAATAAAGACATCTCAACGACCAGATAGTATACATATACTGTATATATAAGCTGTATATTTCGCGGTGGTTTAATTTTCGCGAATTTCGCGAACGCGTCCCCGACCGCGAAAATAACAGCACGAGAATAATGCATACCGAATAATGCCGAATATTTCATAATTCACCGACCGCGAAATTAACCACTGGCGAAATTGTCCGTCAAGTCTGAATTCGCGAAAATATCTGTACGCGAAAAATACGGCTTATACAGTATACAATTATATACGGTCTTTGGACATGTTTGTGTACCGATTCGGCGATTGTATGACATACAGCGCTAATTTACTTATAGATTATCATTATTATTATTATGTGAAATAACAGAGTCACGGTCTCATTAAAAAAATAAACCTCGTGTTTCTTGGAGTTGCTGGCTGTTTATTTTTGCTGATAAGAGCTCATTACCAATGGTTTAAGTTGTTTATGATTGCAGCCGTTTGATGGCGCGCGCGGTATTATAAATGGCACCAGTGTGTGCTATTTACAAATCGCAGGCGTGGAAGGTGGGCGGTGAAGATGCATGATGGTAGGAAATAATAAAGATTAAAGGCATATTCGGTGAAATTCTACGCAATTTCTATCGCTTTCCTGCTTCAGTCTCGTAGAAATTTTTAACAAATTCACTGAATCGTTAGTGTTACACACATGTAAAAACGTAGACGAATTTGGGGAAAGCGTTGTGCTTGCCTAGGCGCGTCAACACTTACAAGTTACACTTACACTACTCCTACTCCTGAGTCCTAGGCCTAATTCGTTACCGCAGGCGCAGATATTCAATTCGTTCATATTCAAGTTAATGATGGAATTTTGCTATTTTGGATGTTAGTTAGGATTATGATAGGTTTAGCTTCAGATTAAAGTTAAAGAAATACATACATAATCACATTGTATGATATGATGGCCTCGTCGTGTGTCACAATTGCTATATACACATTCACTGTTGTAATTATATTTTTACAGTCTTATATTATTTTGAAGTACGGTTCAGTCTGTGATCTTTGCATGCATGTCTATAGCAACTTAGTTGTATCAATAAAATACTGTTTATTACACTTTTAAACGATTCGTTTGTTGTTTACTGCTTCAAGGTCTATATATTCAAGGTCTATAACAGTATTCGCATGCAACTATGAACCGATTTACTAATGCATGCACTTGCATGCACACGGAATGCATGCAAGCACGCAGGCATGATGCACGCACGCACCCACGCACATTAACAAGAATTTGCACATTTTTAATAGCACGGTTAAGTTCCGATGCCTTCATTGCATGTATACACCGAAATAGCTGCACGAGTTCAATTTCGCGCATCAAAATTTTATTTAGACGATGGGTTAATTTATTCCATCGATGCGCCATTGTAGGCCTATGTCATCGCCTACCTGCGAAACGAGTACATACGCACCTGCTTAAACAGCTAATGGCGTACCATCTTAATATCAGTTCTAATGACGACAGCTACGGAATATTTCGTCTATGGAGATCCGGGTGTAGCCCTACGTGTCCGCGCTTCGTGCAAATGTAGTTAATTATTTGCGTGGGTGAGACAATAATGACGCGAGTGTAATGAATGCCGGAGGACACGGTCCATCTTAGACACGTCTGCGCATGCGCATTCATCGATGCTGTGCACGGCGCATGCGCAGACGAAAGCTTCGATGTAAATACGACCTGTCCAAGTTGTTAAAACGCGAAATGCCGGCGTTCGTTTTCTTGTTGGCGTTTTCTACTAAATAAGCAATTAACACGCTGTAGAACGATTTTCAAACATGAATGCATGCAATGAAATGCACTTAACAAACGCACGTGAGCGGACACTTGTTAATTCAGGATTATGGTAAGAGCATCGCCTGCTCTCAATACGGGATAAAGTTGAATTGGGTTTAGATATAGGTAGTGATGAATAGTTAGTTCAATTTGGAAGTTCAGTCATAGCTATGTCCACGCTGGGTTGAAAATTATATATGCGTATCTGCATGTGCTAGTACTGCCTAGGGTTAATATAATGAAAGAAGAACGCGTCATCATACTTAGCTTTCTGTAAAAACACGTTTCAATCATTTGTATGCTCGCACTAATTGGAAAGTTAAAGTCGAGAGAACGTGCTCACTTATGGTGTGATATTAAAAATAACTATTTCTATGATCTATCATTTATTAACAATTATATACGCTATTAAGTGCAGCAACCCCACTTGAGTGGGACTAATAATAATGCGAAGGAAGAAGAAGACCGTTAGATCAATGAGCCTACTCGTACCGTATGTCAGAGCCGTACAGTATTTATATACGGCTCTGCCGTATGTGATCTATGGGCGCCATCTGCTGGTGCCTTCTATGTCTATATCTATGTCTATGGTCTATATCTATGTGTATGGTCTATGTCTATGTCTATGGTCTATGTCTATGTCTATGGTCTATGTCTATGTCTATGTCTATGTCTATGTCTATGTCTATGTCTATGTCTATGTCTATGTTCATGTTCATGTCTATGTCTATGACTATGTTCATGTCTATGTCTATGTCTATGTCTATGTCTATGTCTATGTCTATGTCTATGTCTATTGGTAGCCTAGGTATTTGGGTAACCAGAGGATCGAGCAAAA